AAGTAGTATATTATTAAAAACGACCAGTTATCTTAAACTTGCACATGGAGGGAGAAGTATATGAAACTCTCAGTTCACTAACTAGACCAAAATCCTCCTCAATGACACTAAGGTTGTAATACTAAAAAGTCCCCATCACCCTCCCAGGAGTCTATTAAGCTGTGGTTAACAGACAAGATTCCTTTTAGGTCACCATTTTCAAAAGCATTGTCACTTTTTTTTCCAAGACCAACCCCTCTGAACCTCTGTTTCGTAACCTATCATATAAATGCTGCTCAATACTGCTACGAAGATTAAACAATGAACAAAAAAGTGTTTTATTTAGAGTGGACAATGTCAGGTTTTTATTGTTTGGCTCATTAGAAATGTTCTTGGCCATCTCATGCAGGAACAGCTGGAGGAAATGGAAGAACGCCAAAGGCAGTTAAGAAGTGGGGTGCAAGTCCAGCAACAGAAGAACAAAGAGATGGAACAGCTAAGGCTCAGTCTTGCTGAAGAGCTCTCTACTTATAAGTCAGTTTCCACTGCTACACGAATCTCATCTAACACTGGCTGAGGGGATTGGGGAAGGGCTTAGGGAAAATTATACTTTAGAGTCAAAAACAAGGATTTGGGAAATGATTTTCAAATTGTGCTTATCCACAAACACATGGAAAATGGCTCTCTTCTTTTAAAGGGCTATGCTACCCAAGAGCCTGGAACAGGCTGATGCTCCCACTTCTCAGGCAGGTGGAATGGAAACACAGTCTCAAGGTGATCTTTGTGGAGAGAAGAGTGGTGTTTGCATTGTTACTGCTTTCCTAACAATACTAATGTCTTAAAAACAACAGGCCGGGCGGGGTGGCTCATGCCTGTAATCCTTTGGGAGGCCGAGGTGGGCAGATCATGAGGTCAGGAGTTCAAGACCAGCCTGGCCAAAATGGTGAAACCCCATCTCTACTAAAATACAAAACTTAGCTGGGCATAGTGGGCATAATCCCAGCTACTCAGGAGGCCAAGGCAGGAGAATTGTTTGAACCGGGAGGCAGAGGTTGCAGTGTGTCAAGATCACAATACTGCACTCCAGCCTGGACAAGAGTGAGATTCTGTCTCAAAAAACAAAACAAAAACCCAAAAAACAACAACAAAAAAACCCTTAAGTGTGTGCCTAATGACAAGGGGATAACAAAAACCTCCAAAATGCCTGGGTCAGGCATTCAGAGTTCATTTGGAATGTTTCAGTTTCTAGTAGGACTCAAAATACGCCCTCATTATCACTACGAATTCTGTGGCATCTAGGCTTTGGGCATCTTGTTTCCTCACCCTACCCTATCCACCTGCTATTCTCAGTTTTCCTTACAATAGCAGGGAAGGCATTGTGCTATCAAAAATAATAAACATATCTATCCATTAATTTCCTTATTTAATATTCAAAGGCTGTGGTTTTGGGTAGAAGCAGAGATGTTCATATTACACAGACTTACCTTTTTTTTTCTTTTTTTCAAGACGGAGTCTTGCTCTATTGCCAGGCTGGATTCAGTGGTGTGACCTCTGCCTCCCGAGTTCAAGTGATTCCCCTACCTCAGCCTCCCAAGTAGCTGGGATTACAGGCACGCACCACCACGCCTGGCTAATTTTTTGTATTTTAGTAGAGACGGGGTTTCACCATGTTGGCCAAGATGGTCTCGATCTCCTGACCTCGTGATGCACTCGCCTCGGCCTCCTAAAGTGCTAGATTATAGGTGTAAGCCACCGTGCCTGGCCCACACAGACTTACTTTTAGACACTGACAAAACTGAAGGCATCTTTCTGACCACTCACCTATTCAGGATCCCTCTCCAAATGTTTTACTAGTATATTCTCATAAAAGTTCTAGAGTCCCTTAAAGAAACTAAGGATAAAAGTCCGTGTCAAGTTGTATATTATACAGATGCCTATATATTTTATTTATTTCCTAAACTTACATCAAATTCACAAGTAACTTTCTTTTTTTTTTTGAGACAGAGTCTCGCTCCACCCAAGCTGGATGGAGTGCAGTGGCTCGGTCTCGGCTCACTATAACCTCTGCCTCCTGAGTAGCTGGGACTAGAGGTGTGTGCCACCATGGCCGGCTAATTTTTGTATTTTTAGTAGAGATGGGGTTTCACCATCTTGGCCAGGCTGGTCTTGAACTCCTGACCCCGTGATCCACCTGCCTCAGCCTCTCAAAGTGCTAGGATGACAGGCATGAACCACTGTGCCTGGCCCACAAGTAACTACTGTTGCTTTTTCTAATTTTCTAGGATATTATTATTTTTTAAAATTTCTTTTTAGTAGAGATGGGGGGTCTTGCTATGTTGCCCAGGCTGGAGTAGTGGCACGATCTTGGCTCACTGCAACTCTGTCTCTTGGGTTCAAGCAATACTCCTGCCTCAGCCTGCTAAGCAGCTGGGATTACAGGCATGAGCCACCACACCCAGTCTTGAGGATTTTCTTAAACTGTGTTTGAATCCACATGACTGATAATATGCCTAATGTTTGTGAAATTATAACCTTGCAATTGAAGTCAATGATCTGCTAGCTATCTTTGTGTGGATCAGATTAAAAGTACAATCTGGAAAAGACAATGACTAATCCAAAGAAATGAAACTAAAGAATTTCAGGCATTGTAATTATACCTGTGGAAGTTAACGTACCAGAGAAAACGTTTAAGTATCCCTCCCATCACCATCACATAGGTTACCATTCACTCTATTTCACAAACAGGAGGCATCCAAATATTTGCTAGGGGAAAGTCATCCCTGATCATCCATAAATCACACTGTAACAACCTCTCCTCAACAAAGCCTGCAGTAACTAAACCTCAGAAGTTCATTGTTACAAACTTTTTCTTTTTCTTTCAACCTTACAGGGGCTGTTTAGAAATATATGGCCAAATCTGTAACCCAGAAACAGCAAAAAACTTCTTAGCAAAGGATCACTAAGTACCCTCTGGACGTTCTCTTCCAAACAGACAAGAGTGCCAGGAACTTGGCAAGCATTTCATCCTGTGGAAATTGCAAATACTGGCTGACCTGCTTAAAAAGATTGTAGAGTTTGCTGGAGGCAGAACACCAGTCAACTCTTTGCTGGATTCTATTTCATCTGCTGTTGATACTGATCTTAACACACCACGAAAAGGAAAAATGAGCCTCCTATCTTCCAGCAGCAACCCTCACACATGCACTGAGTAAAGGATGAACGTATGGACGCATCTTGGAGTATTTTAAAGAATGTATCTTGCTTTGTGTTGACCCAAACCAAAAACATTTTTGAGGGGCACATGTGGGGTCAAAAAAATAGCCAATTTCCATTACATGGATTTACAATTTCCATTCTTTTGTGCCATGAGTGTTAGAATTTAAATGAATACTTTTACAAAGTTTACTTTTTGCTAAAGGATATGCTGACCCATATTGTCTACTCTTAAAATTGTGTCAAGTTAATTTTCATTATACTCTAAAACAACTAGACTTGAAGAAAAGAAACCAATTGAGATTTGAATCTAATGGTTAACGCTATTCAGATTTTCCCAAGGATCTTACCTCATCAAAGTAGTTTTGGGTCAGAATGATCTACTCAGTTAAAAAACAACAACAAAAAACTAAGTGGAAAAAAACAGGCATTTTGGCCGGGCACGGTGGCTCAAGCCTGTAATCCCAGCACTTTGGGAGGCCGAGACGGGCGGATCACGAGGTCAGGAGATCGGACCATCCTGGCTAACGACGGTGAAAACCCGTTCTCTACTAACAAAAATACAAAAAAACTTAGGCTCGGGCAGGTTGGGTGCGGCGCCTGTAGTCCCAGCTCTACGGGAGGTCTGAGGCAGAGAATGACCTAACACCGGGGGCGGAGCTTCAGTGAGGCGGAGATCCGGCCACTGCGACTCCAGGCCTGGGCGACGAGAGCAAGACTCCGCTCTCACAAAAAAAAAAAAAAAAAAAACAGGCATTTATCGGTGTTATGCAGTTCTGGTGATACAGAGACTTCAATAGGCTTATTATTTCTAACCTCTAAGTAAAGGCCCCAGTGAAAAACATACTGGGGAGACAAAACCTCTTATGAGAAAAGGTTCAAAACTTTTCCACAATTTAATTGGCCATTAAATTCTCCTACCACACGCGACTTTGACACTCTTGAAAATCCATGTTAGTTCTCTAGAGTATTGACTTCAAAGAAGACGTTACCGTTATCAAAGGACTAATCTGTGCTCACCTCTGGATTCATGTGTTTTATGTCTGTTCACTTTCCCTGTCAAGAGTAAAGCTCTTTTCTACAGCTCTGGGACTATTTATATTTAATTCTGCTCGTTTGGATAGTCAAAAGACCACGGAAAACAACTGTCATCTGAAGACTCTTCTAGAAGCCAGAGGAGCTGTTTGATGGATGTTTATACTAAATAAAACCACTCAGCATGGGGTTATGTAGAAAAGCAATTTATTCCATTTAAGCACTTACACAGTTAGTCATGGAGAGTAAACAGGCCTGCTGGTGAAACAGGTCACCCAAAATGGAGATGGCATTCAAACTAGGTGGTCAAGGACTAACTCCTAAAAAAAAGTAACTCTTATCAAGGATTAATTAATTTTTAAAACAAATACAAGTTATTGATTCACTCTTCTCAACTTGACAGTCTGCCTGTGGTTGTACTGTCAGGTTAAAAACAGACATCTTTACAACTTGGTGGCCCAAGTTAAAAAAACAACAACAACAAAAAACACCCATTTCACAAGACAGGAAAGAAACAACATGAAAAACAGCTGAAGAAATACACTAACGAGCAAAATATATGAATATATGGGGAAGAGGAACATGTAGTTTTGACTTAACTGAGGAACCAAGAGGAAACTGGTCTACAATATGAAAATGTGCATCCTGGAAAGTCAGGTGTCAAGATTTTCGAGTAGAATCTATATGGACTTGAATCTCCCTATTTCCTGAATAAAAGTGACATCTTTCAGGTATTTATACTTCATGGCCAGACACCATACCTCATTTGGCTCTATTCCTTACTCACTCTAGCTTTTACTTAAAATGAGTCTGAAAAACTGGGGATATATAGCATAAGAAGAAAAAATCACACATAATATTCCCCTTCTGTAGCTACTTTAGACTGGGTACTAGAAAATCCTGAGAAAATTTCAACGTTAGTTTGTGGCTTTGCTGAATCAAGCCCCCCCATTAATATTTAGAAAAACACCCACTGTTTGGGCTAATAGCATTATGGTGGGGTACCTATGTATATAGAGGGATAGCTGAACAAAGTCTGTCTCAAAACCAGTGTTAAATCACTCTCAGGGTTGAGAAGAAAAAGAGGGAGTCTAAAATCACAAGAAGTAAAGACATATCTAGAGACCCTTGTCCTTCTGGATCCACGCTTCCTTCAGTGGTCTTCATCATTATAAATGTTCTCTGCCTGCCCAAAAACAAAGAAAAAGAATTTAGTAAACATGAAGACTTCTTCTAAAACTCAAGGTTTCAACAACAGATAAGCCAGGAAACCAGACAGTAAATACCTTTATAGGTTTGGGGCCACACAGGGCTGGTGTAAAAGTATTCAACTCGTGTGATGAAACCGGCATCGGAGCAAACCTCTAATGGGGGAGAGATAGGAAGTAGTTAATGTAGCATGACCATGTTCCAGTAAAAACAGGCAGGTGGTCCACAGGCCCCTGATTAGGACATTCCCACAAAACTGAAGTGTGGATACTATTTGTCTTGATAGCCAACCTTCTTGAGTTCTTTAACCAGGCATTATTATTTTTCTTTCCTTTTGAGATGGAGTCTTGCTCTGTCTCCCAGGCTGGAGTGCAGTGGCACCATCTCAGCTCACTGCAACCTTCGCCTCCCAGGTTCAAGCAATTCTCTTGCCTCAGTTTCCCGAGTAGCTAGGATTACAGGCGCATGCCACTATGCCTGGCTAATTTTTGTATTTTTAGTAGAGATGGGGTTTCACCATCTTGGCCAGGCTGGTCTTGAACTCCTGACCCCGTGATCCACCTGCCTCAGCCTCATGAGACTCCGTCTCAAAAAAAAAAAAAAAAAAAAAGAGGAAAGAAGGCTCTTGGCAGTTCAGATAGAGAAAAGCATGTATCTCTCTGCCGGTCCTGGGCAATGGAACATTTAGTTG